AAATAGTAGTCCATAGATGAAAATAGTAGTTACATCCATAGTTGTAAATAGTAGTTACATCCATAGTTGGAAATAGTAGTTGCATCCATAGTTGTAAATAGTAGTTACATCCATAGTTGTAAATAGTAGTTACATTCAGTTGTAAATAGTAGTCACATCCATAGTTGTAATTAGTAGTTATATCAATAGTTGTAAATAGTAGTTACATCCATAGTTGGAAATAGTAGTTGCATCCATAGTTGTAAATAGTAGTCACATCCATAGTTGTAAATAGTAGTTACATCCATAGATGTAAATAGTAGTTACATCCATAGTTGTAGAAAATAGTTACATCCATAGTTGTAAATAGTAGTTACATTTAGTTGTAAATAGTAGTTACATTCAGATGTAAATAGTAGTTACATCCATAGTTGTAAATAGTAGTTACATTCAGTTGTAAATAGTAGTTACATCCATAGTTGTAAATAGTAGTTACATCCATATATTTTATATATATATACATATATAGTTACATATTTTAGTGTCTCTGCTACGATTGCCGACTTATGTTAGATATAGTTCCTTGCAGTTAATGTGTATGTTTTAGTTTCTCTGCTAGATATAAACAGTTGATGTGTGTTTCTGATACAAGTTAACGATTTGGTTAAATAATAATCCTAGCTTAAAAAACAGACAAGAATCCTCTTCTGCCTCAAACATTTCTCAGCATACCTGTGTCATGTGATTTTATGTTATCAACGTAGTTACACTTTAACCTCAATAAATAACTTCTTAACACGTTTACTTAAACAATCTGATGTACTCCTTATATCTTTCCTTGTGGCTTTAATGTTTCTATTGTACCACGTTTTCCCCAATAGAAGTTTGGTGCCCTTTTGTTAGGTAGGAAAATTGTTTTAAAACAATCGTTTATATCTACACTCTTCTATAGTTACTGTCCTTTAGCTAATTCTTTCTGGCGAAAATTAAACTAAAAAATAACTGTCCCATTTTAAATGTTTACTGATTGAGAAATATAACAATTCAAATGAATTTAACATTATAGGAGTTAGTTCAATCTCTAATAAAGTGGTCCAAGTTAAATAATAATTAAAATAATTTAACAGGATAGGAGTTAATTCAATCCCTAATAAAGTGGTCAAAGTTAAATAATAATTAAAATGAATTTAACAAGATAGGAGTTAATTCAATCTCTAATAAAGTGATCAAAGCTAAATAATAATTAAAATAATTTAACAGGATAGGAGTTAATTCAATCCCTAATAAAGTGGTCAAAGTTAAATAACAATTAAAATGAATTTAACGAGAATAGGAATTAATTCAATCCCTAATAAAGTGGTCAAAGTTAAATAATAATTAAAAGAATTTAACAGGATAGGAGTTAGTTCAATCTCTAATAAAGTGGTCAAAGCTAAATAATAATTAAAATAATTTAACAGAATAGGAATTAATTCAATCCCTAATAAAGTGGTCAAAGTTAAATAATAATTAAAAGAATTTAACAGGATAGGAGTTAGTTCAATCTATAATAAAGTGGTCAAAGTTAAATAGTAATTAAAATAATTTAACAGAATAGGAATTAATTCAATCCCTAATAAGGTGGTCAAAGCTAAATAATAATTAAAAGAATATAACAGGATAGCAGTTAATTTAATCCCTAATAAAGTGGTCAAAGTTAAATAAGAATTAAAAGAATATAACAGGATAGTGGTTAATTCAATCCCTAATAAAGCGGTCAAAGCTAACGAGATCATTTGTTACTGGTTGATAAATCGATCATCGTAACATTTCATGACAGTGAAATTGGATTACATGTAATTCGTTTGTAGAGAATGAAGCCAGTGGAAGTCGTTATGTTGTTGTTCGTGGACAAACATGACATTGGACATTAAAGTTAAGTCTTCTGCTACGTTAAGTGTTATTACAATATCACACGTGCAGCCTGAATGTCGTGTATTTCAAGAAGATAGGTGTATTATTACCACACATATTTTATGGCACAACACATAAATTTTGTATATAATAAGAAGTTCTTACCCTGGATCCATTGAAAACTCTTAACCTGAATCCAATCATTTATGACGTCATAACACGCAATTCTCACGAGGGATATTTGATGCATTTGACCATCACGTAAATCATATGAGATACTCAGTATCATGTCAGCAATATGTGAAGGATGTATAAAAGAAATAAATAGTTCATTTATATATACTGTTTTGTAGTCCTTGTTATTATATCATTATCATCTAAGCAATAGATATAAATCACTTAATAAACCTGCTAAAATCATCAAAATCAAGAAAAAGGGTGATTATTTTTGTTTAATACCGTCACTTCTATCCGGTTAAATGTTGTAATTTATTTCATTAAAACGAACGACTTCTAAATGTTTATATGCTGTCATTTCTTTTATTAAAATGGACGACTTCTGACAGTTTAAATGTCGCAATTAAATGTTTTATTAAATTGTAAGAAGTACAATAATGCTTCAATCACATCTATTCAGGTAAAATCCTTACGCTAGTAAAAAAAAAAAAGTCGGTCAAATTAGATCTGTTTGGCTAGGCTAGATTATACAGAGTGTTGAGCACATTATATCAAAACGATTTTGGATATGCAAATCAGCACATTATAGCCGATATAAAGTAATAGTCAAACGGAATGTATCAGAACTACATTTTGACGTTGTTGGGCGTTGAGTAGGTAGTTTGATGCTGCCGAAAACTGATCGTAAATATTCGTAAACTCAGAGCATAAAATATAATTGAGATTGGAGATTTAGAATTTCCAAAACGGGGATATTACTTGTATTTAACAGCATTTCAGAACAAAGAAACTTGAATTAGTTCAATGTACCAGGCCCATTTAAAATGAGACCTTCAACAAGTCTTACCCTAACCATGGTAAACAAAATGCGGCGTCTTATAACAGGTGAGAATCTACAAATACGAAATTCATTGGCAAAAGCCAAACAACACTATACAACATAATCAAGAAGGATTTGCATGTATAAAAGCAACCGAAGTCACGTGTACACAAGTTGCTTTAACGAGATATTTTTCAACCGTCTGGAAAATGAAACGCGTATTCAAGCTATTACATATCAGTCAAATCGCTCAATGCACCGCCTACGGACTTCTGTGCAATCGGACTCTTAAAACGGACACTGGAAAACCATCTTAGTCTTACACAGTCTGAACTCTGGACAGCCAGAAGGGAGAAGTGATGTGCTTTGGACATGAGATCTTACGATGGAGGTTTTTACACACCGCTACAGGACTATCGTGAATATGCACGGTGGTCAGATAGATCGCGACCGGATGCGACAATTGAAACTTTGACAACGCTGCGAAACTTCAGAATCGTTTTGATATAACACACTCAACCTCTTTATAAAAACGTATGTATGAGTTCATTTAGCACTCGTGTAGGTTCAGTATTAAGACATTAGGATATTTATTGGATATGACGATTACTATTATTATTCTTATTTTTTGCGAGTTTTCGGCTCCGCTTCTGCAACCGAGGAAGATACTTACGAGAATTTGTTTGTAACTAAGCACGAAGCTACACAATGGGCTATCTGTGCTCTGCCCACTACGAGTATCGAAACCCTGTTTCTAGCATTGTAAGTCCGCAGACATACCGCTATGCCACTGGGAGGCTACATACAGAGAGAGTGTTTAAACCCAATATTATAATTATCAGATTATTTACGTTAATAATTTTGCTTCTCGATAAATCCTTTTAATATTATTGCGATTTTATTGAAACCTTGTTATATTGTGTCCTGTATTCCAGCAACCATGATCAAAGGTCCCATGAACGTCGGTTTCATCACAGCCTTCTTGTTTGTAGCAGTATTGCCAGTATCTTTATCTTACCCCCAAACACGGTGAGTTGGGGGTTTTCTCCCTCAGTTTGAGTTCACTCTTATTATTAGTTGTAGTTGTCTAAAAAAACATTTGCATGACTTCTGCTGGGACCGAGTTAATTAACAAGTCATGATCCACTTAATCAGACATTTCCAGAGGGATGACGTTTTTAAATAATTTATTTTCACAGTATAGAACATATGGGCAAGGGATAAAAGCTGAAATGGCCCCTTCAGACAAGCACAAGATTCAGTTTCTCATGAACTTCTTTCCGAGGAAGAATTGTTATTCCCATTTTAAATTGAAACTAAACTATGTGTAAGTTTAAACTTAGTTTGTTTTGAATTTCACGAGGGCTATCTGCGCTAGCCATCCCTAATTTAGCACTATAAGACTAGAGGGAAGGCAGCTAGTCATCACCACCAAGTCTTGGGCTACTCTTTTACCAACGAATAGTGGGAATGGCCGTCACATTATAACGCCCCCACGGCTGAAAAGGTGAGCATGTTTGGTGTGACAGGGATTCGAACCCGCGACCCTCAGATTGCGAGTCGAGTGCTTTAACCACCTGGCCATGCCGGGCCTATGTGTTTAGTGGTTTAATATCAATTTAATATCAAGGATACCAGTTTTAGCGAGAGCTTTACAAATCCCTTCCATTGCAATATATTGGGAATGTGAATTATTATTTTGTGCGTGAAGTTTGGTTTTCAAAATTACTGAGCTTCAAAATTAAGTTGTGGAATTATTATTAACTTCGAAACAAAGCACACAACTACATAGAAAAAAATTTGGCATTAACCCTAATTTCATACACCAGTCTCACAGAACAAAATTAGATATTAACCCTAATTTATTATATCAGTCTCACAGAACAAAATTAGATATTAACCCTAATTTATTATATCAGTCTCACAGAACAAAATTAGATATTAACCCTAATTTATTATACCAGTCTCACTAGGGTTATACAACGTCATAAAACAAAAAGTTAGAACAGTCAGTATGCATTCATTTATTAGTATCGTTGGCAGTAATGTTTTACATCGTAATTAATTATAAACACTGCTCTATGCTCAAAAACGATAGGATATGGCCCAGTAAGTACTTATTTTTTATAATTATCGCGTGTAGTTACTTAACGTTTAAAATGTGAGCAGAATCAAATCAGTTCTAAGTAACCAACTAATAAACGAGGATCCTGAACGACTTGTAAGCCTAACTTAATCTTCTCTTGGTGTACGCCGACTTTTTATCTAGCCAATAGAATCATTCATTATCCGAGAGATATTGATCTGGAGGTTTCTGTTACCCTTTTCAAGACCCTAGAGTGATGCGGGCATTAGTTTAGTAACTAATCCAATCATCTTAACACATGGCCTAAAGCTGTATACATCACGAGAGAGCTATCGCTTTGATTTGAAGAATCTTATTAGAGTTTTACGATCAGGCCTTGATTTTACCTGGCAGACGACTTCCGCAAGTTTCTCGCGATTTTGTATTGGCTGGTGAGGCTTGTTGAGATTTTCGTCTTAGCTCTTAGCCCGAAGATGCATAATAGCTTGATACTTATAGTGTTTTTTGTTTACTCTGTGCTGCAAGTGCATCTTCAATACTCTCGTGAACAAGGCTTTTCAGAATTGCATGAAAAAAACTCCGTGTCTAGAGTTTAGTTATGGTTGTCGTTCATCAGTAGCTTTTCTTTTATTTGTTTCAAAGTGCTTCAATTATGTTTTGATAAGGCTTCTTGTCGTTATACAGCTGGCGCCACCTTCCCCACCTTGATCTCCGAGTCGTTGTAAATAAATAAATAATATATTTATTTATCACATCCTAACTGTAACCATACATTTTCTATGGCTCGAGGAACTACACTGTTAAAAATTGATGAATAAGATTACGTCATGTATTGTGTCCAATTAAAATAATGAATTTCCATAATCTCCAGGTACCGACGTTCCTTGGTGGAAATTAATGATCCTAATGAAGTCATGAGAGTCCTGGCGGGACTAATGGACAACTTGATTGTCGCAGAAAGTGGCAAAACGTATGTAAAAATAATATCAATTTTTTCTGGTAAGATGATTCAGAAGTATCTGAAGTTGATTACAGAATATTTCTAAAACTCCTATGTGCCTAAGTATGAGGTACCGCGAAAAATTGTTCAATATTTATGTAACGTCTGCTCTGGATAAAACGCGTTTAATTATTAGACAGCTTTATTGTCTGGTAAAGGTAGCAATTTTTAAGCCTAATAAGTGCTTTGTTATTGTTATATTAGCGTATGGTATTTGGATAAATTGAGCTTCTTGGTGGTTGGAAAGTTTTTAAAAAAATTAACTTGTAGGTAATTCATGAAATATTTGATTTTATTCTAAATTAATTATTCACAATTTTATATATATTCTAGCGAGAAACGAGGTCTGGACTTAGGCTTATCTCGTGGCTTTTCCGGTAGCCAGGCCGCGAAGCATCTGATGGGTTTAGCAGCTGCTAATTTTGCTGGAGGACCCGGTAGGCGGCGTCGTGATGTCAGCAAAGAAGAATGAAGGAAACATCCGTGAACCACAGTAGCTGTAGCATCAGTTATAAATCTTGACTATTAGTTCCAAAGACGAATGACGCACTTTAAATGAAATTTGCATTTCGGAGAATCAGTTTAATGTATACTTAATGTATAAATAAAGAAATTTCTGCAAGAGACATGAGTTCTGGCTGATTTTATTAAAACTCCTTTTTGATCAAGTTCTAAAAGAAAAAAAACAAACAGAAATGTGCATATACTAAAACACGAAACTTAATTCAAACATATGGAAGATATAGTAAAACTAATTAAAGTAATAGAATAGTTTACGTCGTTTATTAAACTTCTCCAAGTTTATTTCTCTGCCACTAGAGTGAAAGTTAGCAGTATAGAAGACAGATTGAATCAACACTAACATGGTTTGAACTTTACTTATTTGTTAGGAATCGCGTGATCCTATCCTTAGTATCTGAATAATAATAAAAAATATAGCTATTTTACTTTTCACGTTAATCCAGAATTCTGAGGACACAAAAATAGAAGTTAAAGGAAACCCCGAGATCCCTAAAAGTCATTTCATGTTAGAGATAACATTCCTCTTCCCTCCTAGTTTGATTGTGTGGAAGAGTTATATAACCACATACATTGATATTTCTGTGACTTAGGTTTTTTTTCAGAAAAGGACTCCTAGGTCTTTGATAATGCGTGAAATGGTGAATCAAGATTAACATTTCGTCTGAGTGGAAAGCATCGTTATTTTGATTGAATTCGAAGTCAAGATTGTGAAGATGATCAATTATTGATTCTACTTCCCTATTTTCTATAATGAGCAATATTCAAGACAATTACAAATATTTGCCCCATGGTTTATATATATAAACAGAATTTATGCTGTCTTATCTTATAACCACTATTGATGTTGCCCACCTTCTTTTTTTTTGTAAATTTTATTCCACGCTCTTCCTCAAATGAACATAACGTATTTATTTTTGTTCTTTGGTTTATCTAGGTCTAACCTGAAGTACCTCATCCCGAGATAAAGGTCTTTGTTTTTGTTCTATGGTTTATCTAGATCTAATGTTAGATACCTCTCTTTCTGAGATAAACTTGAATATCATTATTCCATGGTTTTATCTAGATCTCTATTTAAGCATCACCTCATCCTGACACAAACTTGTTTATTTTTGTTCCATGATTTATTTAGATCTAATCTTAGGTATCCTTCTTCCTGAGATAAACTTGAATGTTTTAATTCTATTGTTTATCTATATCTAACTTAAGTACCCCCTCCTCCTGAGATGAATGTGTTTATTTTTCTTGATCGTGTAAAGTTACTTTGTGAACCCAGTCAACAATATCGTGACTTCGTGATCGTGTAATGTTACTTTGTAAACCTAGTCAACAACATCGTGACTTATTGATCGTGTAATGTTACTTTGTGAACCCAGTCAACAATATCTTCACTTCTTGATCGTGTAATATGACTTTGTGAACTCAGTCAACAATATCTTCACTTTTTGATCGTGTAATGTTACTTTGTGAACCCAGTCAACAATATGTTCACTTCTTGATCGTGTAATATTACTTTGTGAACCACGTCGACAATAT